GAAAAATCAGGGAATTTAAATATCTTAGACAAAATCTGGAAAAAACAGGAAATTTTACATGCAGATCCCCCAAAAAGCTATTTTTACGCCAGTGATCACTTTCTTGGCGAATTATGTATTATGTGAGCGTCATTTGGGCAGCCGGCATAGAGCCAGTTTTCGCAGCTCCAATCAGATTGTTTTTCAGATAGGCAAAAGCAAGTTTCTAGCAACTTTGTTTTGGTTTCCAGTAAGCTCTAGAATCGAGAGATTTGCATGTGCATCTGCAGTGCATATTGAACTAAAGAAAATACTTTCCCATTCTCGTGCAAAACAAAATCGGTTTAATCCTAGTATAAGGTATACACAAGATTTGGTGACATTATGATGGCAATTAAGCGGGTCATTTTGGTGTTGGCAACAATTTTCAAAATCATGCCAAGGCCATACCATATACTAGGATTTTACAACAAAATCATATATTTTCTTTTTAATAAATGCTTTATTTGTCATTTTGCAGTAATAATAATCAGTCATCTAGGTCAGTCATCCATTTAATATAATTATAATTGCCATATTTCTTGATTGTTGTAATTCAATTTTTAATCTTTAAGTAATTTATTTTAATGCTATTTGTATCATTTAATAATGAGACTTCTTTCTTATAAATTTATTTATTATTATTTCATAATACTTTCAAATTTTAGGCAATTTTCTCTGGCATACTCCTGAAACTAATTCTAGCATATGATGACACGCCATGATGAAATTTAATGCGTATATTTTTTGCTTATTCATGCTGCTAAATAAATATAAAATACTTGAATTTATTTAAAAATATCATTAAATAGAGTTCTTTCTTTTGTTTAGCTGCAAAATGTCTGCAAATAAAGACATTTCTTAACATGTTGACTGCCATTGGGGGGGGGGACCACAGACGCAACCAATAGTAAAATACATAATTAGAGTAAATATCGATACTGATAAATTTTTAGATAGTGTCATTGTTACTATAATGGTTTGAAGAATAATACATCGTAAAAATTTAAATTATAAATCGTAATAATGCTCTACCTACAGAATCCATAGACTCCAACTACTACGGATTCTCCGTAGTTTCTACGGAAATTCATGAAAAACTACGAGCTACGAAAAGTATGGAAAAAACTACGGATTTTACAGAAACAAGAGCAGGAGAACCAGTACGCAAAACGGAACCAACTAATTCATCCGATGATTGGCTGAATACTCGTGTTATCATATATCACGTGTTGAGTGCGTTGCTTAGTTTTGAAGAATTAGCCAATCGTAGATCAGTAACTCTAACCGTTAACGACTTGTCAATAGTTCCCCCTGCAACATCTGTCTATTGTCTCATAGGTTTCCAGGTTCATTGCTGCTGCATGTTTAGGCTTGCATTCGGCTCCATTGTTGTAGATTATGGGCGAGAGCTTAGCGTGTGTCTTGTGAACTGTGAATCAGGTGGAAAGTTTTTTAATCATAATGCTACCTCGAACGAAGACGCCAAAATTGATCAAAGCAAAAAGTTTAAAGATTCATATTCTTCAGAATTTCCATGCATTAAAGCGTCCGGAATTTCTGTGAATCACGCACACTGCAGTGTATGCAACAAAGACTTCTCAGTTGCTCATGGCGGAAAAGATGACTGTAAATGGCATGTGTTGTTCTCAAAAGCATATAGAACTTGGCACCGTAAAATCTAAAGAAATACAAATTTCTTAATAAAGATGATGAAACAGATCCTATAAAAGCCGAATGCTATTTTGTTGTTTTTTAATTGAACATAATCTACCGCTTTCTGTTTCGGATCATTCCAAAGAGCTTTTCAAAGCAATGTTTCCGGATTCTGCCATAGCAAAAAAATTTAGCTGCAGTCATACCAAAACTGCTGCTATTGTGAAAACGCTTGCAGAAAATACTGTTTGCTGATATTATAAAATCAGTGTGCAGTACATCATTTTCTCTAAGTACTGATGGAAGTAATGATAACAATGATAACAAACTGTACCCATTTGGTTATAACATACTACAGTAAAGAAAAGGGAGTGATAATTACTTCATTGATTTCTATTTAGAATGCACGAATAATACAGGAGAAGGTATTTTTAATTGTATAATGAAAACTTTAAAACAAAGGTTTAGAATGGAAAAATTGCTTATCATTTTCTTCAGATAATGCTAGTAATATGATTGGAAAGTTTAAAGGTGTAGCATCATTTATCAAAATGCATCAACCAAGTATAATCACCCGAGGTTGTCCGTGCCACCTCTTGCATATAACTGCAAAAAAGCTACTGAAAAATTAATTGGCTCAGAATTGAAATGTTGATAATAGATATATCTTTTTACTTGGAGAAAAGTTCGAAACGGAAGCATAGCTTCAAAGTTGCTCAACAAATTTGGGACAGAATGCAAAATCTCATAAAATTTTGAATATATTGGCAGTACGAGATGGTTGTCTCTTTTAGAATCTATAACAAGGATTTTGGAACAGTGGGATGCTGTGATAAATTTTTTTGGAGATAAACCAGATAACAGTGAGAATGAAGGAAAGAGATTGCAAAAACATTAAAAAGATTTTACAGTCACCGACCACCAAATTGTACTTGTTATTTTTTGAAAAATACTTTGCCTTTGTTATAACAGTAAAATTAATTTGCAACAACAAGCTCCTTATATACATAAATTGAGAAGAGAACTTTTTGAACGTTTAATGAATTTATTTGTTAGATTCGTAAAAAACCATCAGTAATTTCTAAAGAAAATGAAGATGTTACTCTAACGTCTATCCATTTCAGAAGTATAGTAAAACAAAAGAAAATGAAAATTTAGTGATTGGTGCGGAAACAAGACTATATTTAAAAAAAATGCCAAGTTGAATGAAAGTGAAGTGAAATCATTTTTAATTCTGTGCGACTTTTTTGTAACTTGCATGTTCATATAAATTGATAAATTTCCACTGAGTGATCCATTTCTAAAACATGCTGAAGTTGCTGACATCACTTGAGAACTGAAGTCTCATTTTCATCTGTTCTTTACTTGAATACTTTTCCATCCATTATTGATGAAAAATGTCTTAATCAAAGTAGAAATTGAATTTTCCATGTATCAAGTAGATGATTTGAAAGAAATGTAGATTTGCGTATTGATATAGCATGGGGAGAAATTGCCAAATTAAAAAATATGAATGGGTGTATTAAATACTAAGTATTGCCTTCTGTAATGCTTGCTGTCTTAATAATACCTCATTCAAATGCAGCTTGCGAAAGAATTTTTTTCTATTGTTAAAAAAAATCAGACGGAATTTCGACCAAATTAGGTCTTAAAACTCTTGAAGCAGTTTTGATTGAAAAAATAAATATGCAGGCAAATGAAGAACTGTGTTATAAAAAAACATTCTCAAAATCAGAATTTAAGCTTGCTAAGCATGCTACATATAAATCTTTGCATTCATAAAGTATGCGTATTTGTTTAATACTTATATGTATCATTCTTTGGTTATTTAAATTTTATCCCTGTAGAAATCATATCCAGAATAAAGATATGATTTATAGCTTCTGATTTTTTCTATGATTAGTAGTGATTTGAAAGTACTTTTTATTAGTGAATGCTTGAGGAGTTAAAAAAAATTTCTAATTAAATGTGCATATAATTTACAAGGTATATTTTTAATTATTCAGTTTTTTATATGTATATGGATTTTAAATGTAATAAAATTGATTACAATTAATTATTAATTTAAAATTAATGAATGGTTAATTACAACATACGCTACGCGCACATTTTCAAAGTTGTAAAAATGTTGTTCGCGCGTTGACTACTGACAAGGTTTGCTGAAGGTTGGAGTCTATGCAGAATCTTGGGGTGTCACCGGTGACCCCCACCATGAAAAATGCGCTAAGCACAATTATATAACTCGCTTTATCTTCTGTAGGTAATATTTCAACATAATATACATCGCATAATAAAAATTTGAAGTTGATGTCATGGGCAAACCACGTAAAATGCGCATGGCAGTCAACGTGTTAATCAAGATTGGGTAGATTATAATCTCAATCTTCAGTGGAGAAAACAACTCCTATTATAGTTATAATAGTAATTATTTGGGGATAAGTCATATATAATTGGAAAATTTTTGTGTTTTCTAGTGGAACCATAATTAATTTACCTCTCAGCGCAGCCAACGCGCACTACGTAGATAGACTGGAATTTTCTTTAAACATGCCTGGAAAACCTGAGAAAGTCAGGGAATTTCATTCTCCTGTTTGAGTGGCAACCCTAAATAAAAATTAATATATTTTATATTAGTTGAAATAGAAACACATTATGTGTTTAAACAAATAAAAAATTCATTTGTTTCATTGTTTAAGAAAAATGTCTTTAATTTTTATTTATGATTTATTTTGTTGGTTGGACGGGGGGGGGGAAGGGCTGTTTGTTGAAATAATATACAGTAAATGAAAAAGGCCTTTTCTCTTATATCAGATATCCATTTGGCTTATATCTTGAAATAAAATACCATAAACAAAAAAGCTTTCTCTTACATCAGATATCCATTTGGTTTATTTATTGAAATGAAATACAGTAAATAAAAAAGCTTTCCCTCTTACATCAGTTATCCACGTGGCTTATGGAGAAAAGCTAATTTAATTATTAAATTTTTTAAAAATATTTGAATAGAACTGCAGTTGTAATTAGTCATATTTTGAATTAATTAGCATGCTTAGATTTGCTGATAACTTCTGCTCGTGTTGGATTTTGACTTGTTAGGATTTTCTTTAAAATGTGAATGGGATCTATTTCAGTGTGATTATTATGATAATAATATAAAACTACTTTCAAAAGTTTTAATTTTATGCTTTGTAAATAAAATTGGAATATCTGAAAATCCAAACAGGAAAAATAATCATTTCTTTCTACTTAACAGCTATCTATTAATCATTTTCATAAAACCTATTAATTGTTAATATATTTTAGTCATTAGTTTTATTACATTGTAGGTTAGAAAATAGTGCTTTGATTGTGTCGCAAAAACTAGATTTTGTTGAAAATACGCTGAAAGGCCTCCAAGCTGAACTGAAACATTTAAATGAAATCCATTCTTCAGCACAAGGTAAGAATGCTTTTAATAATACCAAAACAAGAATGAAGTTTATTTAAATATTGACCTAAGGTGTTTCATTGTGTAGCTGTCATGAGATGATTCTTTTTCTAATATAGAGGAAAGAATGATGCCATAATCATCGAAACATTGATTTTTTACTCCCAACAATACTTCTGAATTTCATGTGGTTGATTTGTAATGAGAGTAACTACATATATTGCAAATCTAAATATATGTAATAAATGTTCCTTTTATTTTGTGCTCATTTTTATTAATAAAATGGTGATAGATTATCCCAAGTTGTAATTCCTATAGACAATACAAAAGAAGTAGTTCTAGATCCAGAAGATTACAAAAATTATCAAGTTGGAACTGGAATTAGTAGAATATGATATTATCATAGCCAAAATAGAACTTCCTGAATTATAATACTAGATGTTGTATGCTGTAGAAGTTCATATTGTTAATATTTGTTCTTTTTAATAAAAAAGAGGTCAAAAATTGCATATTTAGTCGGAGATAACGATAGAAATAATTATTTAACTTTGAATATCACCAATTGCCTCACTTTAATAGCTCATTATTCACTTCTTATATTTATGCACATTAGAGTTTAACCAGAAAATTATATTGCATAAGAAAACATTTTATATATCCATTTTCATTTGGGATCCTTAATTTATAACGTGCAAGTAAAATTTTTATAGTGAAAATATTTATATACCCCTGCAAAGCAATCAACATCTATTTTTCCATTCTAAAAATTTTTTAAAGTTGTTTGTTTATGAAGAAACCATCATCAGAAACATGAGTGAGAATATTTGAAGAAATCATTCTGAAAAGTTAAAAATACTGCCCTGAAAAATTCCAATGTTTAATTTCTGAGTTTTTTTTTTTATTATTATTCTTACTCTTGCATTGTGGGCTATATAGTTAAAAGTCATCAAATAACCTATTGAGAGTATTTTTCAAAATAACAGTACTATTAATTAGGAGGCCAAATTTTCCTATGTTTCGCTATTGTTATCTTTCAGGGTAGGTTGTCTAGTGGTATAAACTTCTGCAGAGAATTGTTTCCAGACTTCCTGTAGCATGCTGCAGAGTTATTGGTAATTCAAATATATGTAGCTGCAGTTTTGCAGTAAATATACATTTATGTAATTGTACTACAAGTTTTCAGAAATCAATTCATAAAATGCAAAGAAAACAATTGATTCATAAAAGTCTTTTTAAGAAGGGCTTATTCTTGCATACTTAGCTTTGGGATTGGGGAAGGAACAGAAAAAGGAAATTCTTCTGTAAAAATAATTTTTCAAAGCATTTTGTTGCTTGTTCATTTTTACTCAGGCAGAAACAAGTGGTATGTTTAAACGGATGTATGATAAAGTAGGTATGGCTATAAATTTTCCAGAAAACTCTTAAAAGTACACTTATATATCGAAATATTTTAGTCTTTATCAAAATATATTTCAGTTAAGCTTGATGAAAGCTCTACATTTAAATCATTCAGAAAGTAGAGTTTTGCATTGTCTACTATTTAGGTCATATAGTAAGCACTGGAAAATATTTTCTGAATAATCTGCATATAATATTTTGCTTTATATGTGTAAAATATGTATGTGCATGCATGCATTTATGTGTCTGTATAAAATGAAGGTTGATATAAATATTGAATGCCCCATTTGCTGATTATTTTGTCTAGAATTTTGTTATATAAATTTTCCTCTGTTGGATTTGCTTGCTTGTGTTTTATAATGCTGCATTTATGTTTTATAATGTCTTTTATTTTTCCTTTATTTTATGTACTGTTTTAATTTTAGAAATGCCTGCGGAAACTTCTGAAAAATCATTGCTAATGGAACTCAGCGATAAAATTGCAAAGCTTCTTGAAAAATCGGAAGTGTTTACTTTAAATTCTACATTAAAATCGTTACCAATGTTTATTAATAGTGTTCCTTGTAGTCCAACAAAGCAAGGTAAGATACATAATTTTTCTATAATTTTAAAAATTTCTTCTTGTAACCAGCATTTATACCTATATTTTTAATCTTTCTTTTGCATATATGTGTAGATAAGTATTGCATATATACAGAGAGAGGCAGATTTACAAGGTTATACATATCACGACTGCAAGGGCCCCCCAAATTATTCATTTTTAAAAAACAGTATATGTACATTGTGTCTTAAGAACAGGGGGGACTTTCAAAAGTTCAAGCAAGATGTATATTTTCAAAGTCTGTAATTGTGTGTGTATGTATATATATATATATATATATGTAATGATTTTGATAGAGAAGACAGATAATTCCATTCAAGGCCAAAGTTATAGATGTTGATAACACTAGGATGCCTGACTGCATAGTTACAATCATATGCTAAATTAATGCATCTTGTTTCTGGACAAAACAGTTCTTGAGAAGCACATCTTGATGAGAAATTATATATGGTACTGGGTGTAATCTGTGCCCCTGTTCATTTGTAATTTATTTTGAATTTGATGCCAAATACAATGGATAAAAGAGAGAGGTGAGGTGCGATATGTTAGCTGGATGGGATGCAATGTAGGAATGTAATGCATTCTGAAGAAATGTCTGAGGTAGAAATTAAAAAGTTATGGCTTCCGGTATTGTTTTCAATTTTGATGCCTTGTGATTGGCTAAAGCATTTATGTAAGCATTATGTTACTTCTTGTATTGTATCTACCCACTGATGATGATGCAGTGAACGATGTAAATTTCCTATTTCATTTTTGGTTTTGGCATGATGAGGGGACATGGGGGATCACCCCCCCCCCAATTTCTTGCAGCTTCACTGTGCTTTTGTTTTTGGGTATTTGCATGTTGTTTATTCTGAACTGAATATGAGATAAATTTTATTTTGCATTATATGTATAATGTACATATATATATAGATATATGTATCATTAATACTTAACTTTAACATACCATTATTAAAAATAAATGCAAAAAATGTATTGAAAACTACTGTCTAGTTTAGACGTAAGTGATGGATTGAAATACTAATATAAAAGCTTAAACTGTAATTATGAGTAAAAACAAAGAAGTAATCCTGAGTATAAATATATAAAATCAAAAATTGCTACAAAAAAAATTGCAAGTATGAAAAAAAATTATGGTCAATGATATACAATTGCTCCCTAGATTAGAAACAAGTTACATTCTGAACGAACATTCATATCTTGAATTTGTTCATAAAGATTTATTAGTTCCTCTACACATCTCCTAACTATATTCATAAAATAAGAGCACTAAATACTATCAAATAAATAATTAAAAATACTTTAAAAAGTAAACACTGCATTTGAAATATTAAATACAGTAGATTATAAATAAATAAAGAATTACTTTACTATGCAGCACATAACCTTGAATGTTGTTATTGAGGCATATGTAGATGTAGTAAGGATGATGCTAGAAGATATGGGTAGCAGTAAGACCGAGTGTGACTTGTCCTCTGAAGATTCATCAATGAGTAAAAGTTACATTTGTGATATGAAGTCTGTATGAGACATGAAAGTAGTTGTCATGTTAGATTTCTAAAATGTCTTACTTAAGAAAATGAGTGTCTAAGTTCATCTGAGCATGTTTTCTTTTCCTCAACCCCATCATAAATAAGAAGATAGCACTTATAATATTGTTCACAGTGGGCTTTACCAAACCTTTCGGAATTTGGGTCTTGATTTTCCAAAAAATTTAGACCTTCTTCAGACTTTGAAAATGTTACTGCCATTAACTTTGTATCGAACTTTTTAACTTGGACAGGATCTTCCTCCTTCTCTCTCTGTTGCTTTTTTATATGCACCAGGTCTTTATTAGTCAGTTCTTTTCTGTATGAGTCTAACAGAAATCTCCTTCTGCAGGTTTTGCCTGTCGAATAGCCTATTAATATCGATGACACTCACAAAGACAGACTTTCTTCTTTTCATATCATGATTAAAACCATGATAATCAGCTAAGCTAGGGCACATCCTTTTCCAAATGTCATACATTTATACATTTATTATAACTTTTCATGCATTATGTATGTTCTGTACTCAGTTTGTAATCCTTCCAAAAGTACCCTAAAGTGATATCGAATTTTTCATCAGTGTATTTAAGTGCCTGAAGGTACATATGTGTTTAATTTGTTTATCTTCTTTTCGACTCTGAACAAATTTCACTGTGAGAAATTTTGTTCGTATCTGCAAAAGTTTGTAAAGTGGAGAATGTCTGTATTTTAATTCAAACTTTTCTATAATTATAGTGATGAAATACCTTATAGGTAAATAAAATAGATAAGCTCTGCTCCGTGTCTGTTATTTAATTTATTCAATAGTTGTGTTTTATGTTGTCTCCTTTATTTTCTAAGGATTAAAACTTTTAAAGTATTTAAAATGAGTACATAAAGATTTGAAAAAAGTTTGCTTAATTTTTTCCCAAGATGTAATATTGTCTAAAAATAAAAAATAATTATAGCTTTTTTAAACGATTTTTTAAGTTCATTTTTAGTTTTTTTATTATTCAGTAGGTTGCCAAAACATAATATTATTTCCAAGCATAAATTGCATGAATTATGTAGCCTTTGATTAATTTTTATAAATTTATTTCAGACATGAGTGATAGAGAATCTTTATTAAGTGAAGAAACGATCACATTAAGCAGAAGTGGTAGTTTGAGTCCAGTCAGTTTTGAAGAAAATTTACCCTCAAAGACTAAAACTGTTCAAATGGCTCATGTGAAAGAATCAGAAAAAGGTTTGAAGAGAAATGTACTGAATGTCACAGATGTCCCATATAACCAAACAACAGTAGGAAATTCTCAAGATTCTGTCTGTCATCGATCCCATTACTCATCACCAGACTTAGGTATTGAATCTGATCCTAACCATGAAGGATCTGCTCCAGAACAGCAGGAAGAAACAAACAGGAATGAAAGTACTCAGAAAAGCAAACAGAAAATTGCACGGATGCAGCTAAAATCTATGCATAGTTATTCACCAAATGAGGCTAGATTGAAAAGTAGGTAGTATTTCAAATTAAGCTGCTTTATGTATAGTAATATTAAAAATATTTAATAGCTTTTTCTTTTAATTAAAAAAAAATTGATAGATTGTCTGTATTTTTGAATCTTTCAAACATAGATTAAACTAAAGATAATTGTCAAAGTGTGATTCACCAAAGTTCAGCGAATTTTCCTTTTGTTACACAAATACCTACTTTTCCATTATATACCTGCCATACATTTGGGCATCCGTGAAAGAGAAGAGAAACACATGCCGAGACACAACAATAATGCCATCTGGGCTGTCTTTGTGTGTTTCTGTATCTTATAACTATTCTTATAATTAAAAGATGTTTTCTGTTAAAAAGCCACTAAAATGTGTGGCAGCAGCATAATGGAAAAGTACCTTCAAATAACATCGAGATGGTTATCAAATTCTTGTGTACTTGCTACAATATATTCTTTATCCAGTCTGTGCACAGCAGTGCAATCTGACAATTGAGATCACTTAGGCTTGGAAACAGAATGGGGAAAAGGGACTAGTTCACTTAAAATCACCAAGAATAAAAATTTTTTAACTGCTTTTCTCTAAAAAGATCATTTTGTTAAAATTTGTGTATTTGATTGCAGGAGAATGTATGCCAAGACAATGGTAATTTCTATTATTGTTTAATATTGAGGAAAACCGAGAATTTGTAATTAAAATATTTTATTTGAAACTTATATTTTGCTTTAAAAAATTTTAACAAAATATATGCTATGATGTCATGCTTTCATTTCTTCAAATTAGTTTTTAGTGATTTTTATATAATATTCAATACTATCATATTTACTGGTATTTAATTTTGATATTTATTTCTACATACTGAAAGCAAGAATTGTTTATTTATTAGACAGTTGGGAATAATTAATTATAATTGCTTCTTCTTTCCTTATAATATGTCTTCCTTTATTTATACATTAGCTGTGTTTGTAGCAACCCATATTCAAATGGCTAGTGGCCCTAACCATAATTACCTATTATCAGGAGAGTTATAACTAGGGTTGACACTTTGGTGCAGTATAAGCAAGAGGAATAGTAGGTTTAACCACTTGCCTGTTTTGCTGTGCAGGCGCTGCTTTCGAGCCATTACTTATTTGCCCATAAGCTGTAAAGCAATCTCATTTCTCTGTTGCTTTTACTATTTTGTCCATATCTTTTCTGTTTTTAATATGAAGTAAGTTGTACAGATGGCAATAGATATCCACTGAGTGGTAGTCTGTAAAATCTATTTTGTTCTATTCCAATTCGTTCCAAAAGTGGGTGCATGTTTCACAATTTTTGCATGGCTCGGCAAATTTTTATATTTTAATGTTTAACTTTTCACATGTATTATTGTTGATTTGATAGCTTTATTGAAGTACAAGTAGTTAAAACTGTTTTTTTTTTTTATCATAAAGTAATGCTGATTCAGAATACACATTGCTAATTTCTTCCGATTCAGACTGTGATTCAGAATTAGAATATTAAATTCTATAAATGAGCCTGGAAGTAGTGAAATTTCTCTTGATGTCTTCAATACTAATATAGAAAACATGGTGGTAAAGACACGAATTTACAGCTCGTACACATGCAACAGTAAAAGGTAAAGGAAAGGTCTCCCTGGATATTTACCAACTCTGTTAAGTAACTTCACAATTAAAGGTTATAAATTCTAATTAAAGGTAATTTCACATACATGGAAGGAGGGTAAAATCTGCAAGATGCTGCTATGTGTGTTCTCTGAAGAAACATTATGGCCGCAAAAGAATTAAGAGAGTCAGTATTTTTGTCTACATTTGATGTTGGACTGTGTCTCTGGTCCTTGTTTTAAAATATATTGTATTAAATCAGGTCTTTGGAAAAAAAGGGGAGGGCTAAGCAAATGCAATTGTAGTAATTATATTTTTTTATATATACAACTGTAAATGTAACTTCCCTTTTAGGCATTCATGTGTAAAGAAAAGGCAACTCCCAGAAAAATATTATTTTATTTTCGGTAAAACAAATTGTTCTGAATGCTTAAAAATATTACCAATTTTAATTTTATTAATATTTTCTTACTTACAAATATAAAATAAACAAAAACAAGCAATAAAAATTAGACCTTTTTTTTTTTTTTTTTTTTTGATCAAAATTTGGGAATTAAATGATACTGTTAAGCAGCCTTTGTGCTAGAAAATGTTTTAGATGCTATATTGTAATCACAGAACTAGTGCCCCACCAATTGAATGCAGGGAGTAATGTGTTTTCTACGTAAGTTCTTAACTTTTTCTTATTTAAAACTTAGTGATGGTCATAATGAGTAAGGAAATAATGACTGATTTTGTAATAATTTTAGATTGAATACTCTAAAGTTATTTTAAAGTTTAAAAAATGTTATTTTAACTTAAGAAATTGTAAGTAAAGAAAATACACATTTGCTTTGTATTAATAACAAATTAAATTTATTTGTTAAACAACTGATGGTTTCTTACTTTTCTTATTCTTTTATTTTGTCTAGACATCCCGATATCTTTAGGTGTTGGAGATACTTTACATGCAATTGGTATCCTTCAAGAGTATGAACTTTTAAAAAGGGAAGTGCAGGAGGGTTTGGTTGGAATACAGAGTGTCTTATCTAGAACTGGCGATGGTTTACATCATATAGCAAAATACACATCACCCCGAAAGGTATGAGGACATATTTTATTTTTCCATTAAGTATTTTTGGACTGTGTTTGTTTTATAGTTTATTTTCCATTAAGTATTTTTGAACTATGTTTATTTTTTAGTAAAAAGTTCCTAATCTTTTGTTCATAATAAAATGTTTTGCTGTTTCTTCCATGACAGACTCATCTGTTTGAAAAGTAATTTTTAATCCAAATACTCAATAGATTTGAACAATTTTAATAATTCAAATAATCTGAAATGGCCAATGGTCATCTTAAATATTTGAATAATTGTGTAATATATGTATGTGTGGAATATTATATATATATATATATATATATAATATATATATATATAATTTATTATTAGAAGAAAAATTTCATACATTATCTCCAAAGAACAGAAATTAACTTAAAGCCATGAATTATTAAAAGAAAAAAAATTAGTCAGTATTCTAATTAGCATTTTATATCAGTTTAATCTAATCTTCTATTGGAGTAAAAACCATTTAAAATCCGTAAAGTCTTGAATCTCAAAAATACCAAATTCAAAAGTAAAAATTTTAAGTACTCAAAAAGTAGTTAATGTCATTGATCACAGATTAATTATCTTGTCAAGGGGAACAAACCAATCTACTCTCAATCAACAATAACACAGTTAAGTGATTGTGAACACTTTTAAAATCAACAAGTCTGTCTTTTGGGAAACAATGCAGTAGTTAATAAATGAATAAAGTAAAGTAGATTTTCAAACTATTTGAAACTTTTGATAAGTATGGCAGAGGTGTGATAAATTGTTTTGTCAAACTTTGTGAGGACTGGTAATCAAATGCTTGAAATGGAAACACTTCAGTGGTAGAGGCACTTCAAAGACGATAACATGCAAGTAACTGACAAAGCACATTCTGTCAACATTTCCAAACCACAGCCATATAGTGAACTATAACTATCATGCAAAGGTCCTGAAAATTTAAATGTATACTATCATAAGGAAGAAAAGGCCAAGTTTGCTCTGGAAACAGTAGTTTGGCTTCATGTTGCTGTTGTGACCTTATTTGAAATAAGTGGGATATAACCAAATTTAGTGCCATGCGATTTCTGAGCATTTTCAACCCTGATAAGACAACTACATAGAAAGAGATTCCCTTCAGATGAGAAAGTGAAAAATGCATGGCTGCAGTATTAAAAAGGATGCCACAAAACAGATTGTTTCATACTTTTTAATCATTTATAAAATGTTTTGAAAATATGATTCAGCGTGAATCCTATTTAGAATAAAAGGAGGAGGGCTTTAAAATAATTTGGTTTTGGATAAAAGATAGTCCTTGGATTTTAAAATTTACATGCATATTTCTTATTATCAATGTTTATATAGTGACCTCAAAATTTCAATTAATGTTATAGGGATTAATTTTGCATAGGTAGGATTTGGAAGAGCAAGTATGTGGGAAGCATATGCATTTAACTTTATTTGGATATGAAACTGATTTTTTTCTCATGGAGTTTATATAGCATTGCTAAATCTGTCAAGTCACAATAAAGAAGACTGCAAAATATTTTCTGCAATTTCGACACCGAAAATTTTTCTCCTTTTAGTTCTTCAGTGGTTAAGCTGAATATCGGAATTAAATGTTGCAAGGACTATAAACATATTTCAGTAATCAATATCTATAAAATTATCATCAGTTAGAAGCAGTTTGGATAATTGTTTAGAACAGTGGTATTAAAGTTTTATAGCAATGCGACTCCATAAAAATGTAAACAGCCCCCTTCACACCCTTCAAGAAAATTGTAACCTTAGCTAGAGCATCAGCCCTTAGTTATGCATCATCAAATGAGATTTTTATTCACTTTGTGACCCCATTTAAGTATTCAAACATGGGTTCGCAACCCATTGTTTGAATATCATTAGTTTAGAACTATCATTTGCTATCCTTAAGAAATGAGACCTGAAGGGATTTTTAATTTCAAAATTAAGTATATTTGGTATTCTTCTGAACTCAAAAAATGACAAGGACAAGACTGCCCTTACCAAAAAAGGACAGTTGGCAGACAGGTCAGTTATGTAAGAATTTAAAATTTTTGATTTCTTTAATGTGACTAAAATTATTATAGTCTCTCAAAGCTTACCATATTTGATTTATTTCTTTGGATCTGCAATCAACCATTGAAGACATATTTAATTGTTCAAATTTTTAAAAGTATGTTATATGAATCAATACACAGAATACTGCTATCTGATTAAGCTTTGAAGTATGAAATATATTTCCAGAAATTTTGGTATTTTTATTATAAATTATTTTTAAACTGTGTTCTAAATTTTATGTATTGCATGTCTTTATGTTTTGAATATGCATATTGAATAGAAAATAGATTTTAAAACATTTGTATTCTGTGTTAGAACTTGGAATACAGTACTTTGAAAGCTATTAAGGACACTTGTGCCAATATTGAAGTTTGTCTGAGAGAAGCTTACAAGCTGGTTAACAACTTTTGGATTGCCCCTTGCCCATCTGTCCAAGAATGGAATATTCTAATACAACAGGTGATTCCTCCCTTCTAAAATATAATTCAATAAGTTCTTAGCTTTAATTTATTTACTTGCTTTTAGTAAGTTTGTGCAAATTACCATGTTTATTTTTATCGTAATTTCAATTTCCATGTAAATGCTTGTAATAATGTAGTAAGCAATGTACTTTAAAGCAGGGGTTCCCAAAGTGTACGCTGTGGCGAGTAAATTGCGCTCCTGTTTACACTTTTACAGATTTTCTCTCAAAAATTGCTATCTCTTTTCAAGGGACACGTAATAAAGTTCACTAAATGGTTTGAAAAATATCTTGTGGTAGAAAATATCGAGAAATATTCATGGATCCAAAACCCTTTCCATGCTAAAGCTCCACCAGAATTCACTTCACAAGAAAAAGAGTCTCGATGAACGCTCTTGTGGCAGCAACCTTAAAACATTTTGAGAGAATTTTTTTTTTTTTTTTTTTTTTGAGAATGATAAAAAATGAATATCCAACTCTAAGTTCAAAAACTTTAAGGATTCTCATTCGTTTTGCAACATCATATTTATGCAAAACCGGATTTTCAAGCAGTAATAAAGAACAAATATTTGTTCAAAGATTAACGTGGAAGCAAAAAATGAGAGTGGCAGTGTCTCAATATCTCTTAACTAGAATGCTATTTTATTGAGCATTTCTTATCCACAACAAGCACCCTCTTTCCACTTCAGAATGATGTGTATGTAGTTGCAATAAAGCATGCAAAATACCCATATTTCTATTAATTCCTTCTTCTTAAAGTCTTATCCATCGCTTTGTGGAGACTTTGTGAAAAGTCCTATTTCCTATTTTTCTTTAATAATAATAATAATATAATATATTTGTGTAGCAGTTCAATTTTATATGTATATGAGCCACAGATTGTGGTTGTTTTCATTTCTGTGCGTGGTCACTAGTATCAATATATGGTCGTATTTAATGAAGTGTTGTGATTTGCTATGACACAATGTAGTAAGCAGGTTGTAAAGCGCAAACCTTGTACAACACTTCGTTGAAGATGACTAGGGCACCATGACAAAATACTAAAGCTGTATGTGCGCTGCCAGCTAAAAAAGTTTGAAGCATTAAACTACAAATATCAGGCATATAAGAAAGCATGTTTCTTTTATCTTTCTACCTGTATATCATGAAATTTTTATGTTAAAACCACCTGTAATACCTCAGTTTAGATTATATTATCAAAATTACTACTGTTGTATAAAGTGATTAATTTAAAAACAGAGAAATTCAGTGGGGGGGAGCAGATGTATTTTTCATTTTCTCTTTCCAATATTAAAGTTTTTCCTATAATATATGAAATTTTTCATGTAAATATAATTAGAAAAAGAGGTAACTTTTTCTACCAAAATTACATTTTAATTTTTTTCATTATAGAATAAAAAATAGTAAAAAAAAATTTTATGTAAAAAAGCTCTTAAGTTGATTTGTGAAGATTTATTATGTAATTTGAAACATTTACACTTGGCCAGTATCACTAATTGTCATAATTAAGGATTATAATTTTAGAAGTTAGTTAAATAAATTTTTTAAAAAAAGGAAAAATATACTGCTTTGTCAAGTTTTTTTTTTTTTTTTTTTAAGTTTTGGATGATTTTTTTTAAAGAAGCCAGTTTTACTGTGTGAAAGGAGCTTTAGCAGATTGAAATTTCTTACAGGGAAAAGGGAAATTTATTATGTGGTCATAGTGAATACTCAGTATAGTAAAGTTACCAATTATAATGTTTCTATTTTATTATATAGAGCAGGCATAAAATTATAAACTAAAAATAATGTTTTAAATCATCATAGATATGCTCTGTTAATATCTATATTATATTTTGTTGTATAGATGTACATTTAATACTTTGCAGCTAAAATATTAATATTGATAGTGATAATATATTTGGAACTGAAAAATTATATATTTTTAGATATCAGTTATTTACTCATAATTTTAAGAAATGCAGCTAGTGAATTATGCAGTGAAAGAGATTGTAAGTTATCATTGAGGGCAAGTAGGTTTTTGCAGAAGGCATCATAAGCTTTTGCATAAAAATCTACTGTAGTGTAATTCTGTACTGTTCCCGAAAAGTTTTAATCAGTAATTTATTTTATATCATATATTATTTATATATTGAATATGTAAAAGTTTAGCAAAAATACGTTAATCCATTGCAAAACAAATCAGTAATTCATATTTTTATTAATAAGAGTATTTATATTTAAGTAAGTTTATTGAAAAATTCTTAATCTTTCTTGAGTTGATTTTAATAAAACTCATGTGTCGTCCTCAATCTAAATCTTTCTACTTTCTTTGCCAGCTTTTTAAATTTGTGTTTGAAACTGTACAGAAGATATTTCTTATTTCAGAATCAGGAGCAAAATGAACAACTTACAAAGCTGAAAACTTCCATGGATGAACAAGAAAAAGCCTTCAAAGATGCTTTGGAAAAATTAAAAGTAATGTGCAATTCATATTACTGCTTGTAAATTCACTTCATTTGAGATATACAAAGTCTGTAATCTGGGCGTCCATTATCCAGAATGATCTATAATCCGGACCTCAAAGTCACAAACTTTTTTTTGTGTGGGCTTTATGCATGCGTGTTTAATGTATAACGGACGGTAAAATTATCTTTACTGAGTCTAAGGCATTTCACGTTGCAGATTTGTTAGTTAATGTTGCAGATTGCGCTGTTCCTTAATCTTCTAATTGGATTCGGCTTATTATTTTTTGCAGACTGTTAGAGCAATTTTATAAAAATTAAGCTTGAACTTTCGATTATGTCAATTTGCAATTCCAATTCACCAAAAAATTTCCAATTCTGGAGCTGGCAAAGGATCTACAAAGCGAAAGCATGTTTCGATGTCCATCAAACAAAAAGTGGAATTGCTGCAAAAAATGGATAAAGGCATATCCGTCTCAAAATTATGCGAGGAGTATGATATTAGAAAGTCAATCATCAAACAATTAACGGACGGCGAAATTTGTAGTACGGTTCTAGATCCAGAAAATACCGCTTCCGACAGTGAAGAAAGTGACAGAGAGGTTATTAAAATCTAAAAAATTTCGATTGTCAAATTAGTCGGTGTTCTCGTCACAGCAATTACAGGACTTGAACAGTGGAACTTTGAACAAAAAATTATGTCTATTTATAGAATTAAAGAGAAAATATTAGCACAAAAACGAAGCAACTTAAACAACTTACATTGAAAGAAATGTTTAATAAAGTAAACAAATAAATATTAAGCTTTTTTGTGTGTGTGTGTGAATTTTGATACCCTTTAGATAATAATTGCTCTTTATTTCATAAATTACGGTTTCATATTTTTAATTGTATAATTTCTGCATGCCATCTTACTAGATTAAATTGATGATCTATAATCCGGAAAACCCCCTAATACGAAATCGCCGAAGTCCCGACGAGTCCAGATTACAGACTTTGTACTGTACTGAAAAATACTCAATCATTTTAATATTAGGCAACATGTAGCCTTAGGAAGTTGTGCCTTTATTGGTAAACTATGCATTTCAGAAGAGAATCCATTTGCAGAGATCCATTTTCTTCAAGCAGTAAAAGTGTTGTATTATTTATGTAGTTAACAACATACTTAATAATATCATACTTACTTCTGCATTCCTCTGTCTTCTTTTTAATGCTAATTTTATTTTGCAAAAGTCAAGAAGGGGGAAAATTACACAAATAATGCAATTTTTGAAGGACTTTGTTGCAATAGAAACATAAGGAAGGAAAAGTATTCATAGGTAAATTACTAGTAATTCTCACAATTTTTTTTTTTATTAAAACAAAAAAACTGCAAATTTTTAATAAAAATACAGAGTAACATTAAAATTATGGTATATTTTCATTTCTGCTTCACTCTATCTCATATCTCACTTGCCTTTATTGTCCAGTGCTATTTAGGCTGAAATCATTTATTCCTGCTAAACTACTGTTTGTGTCATCTGCTATAGCTTGCTAGTAGTCAGCAACAAGTTCAGGCTATGTCATTTTGTTATGTCACTCACAAAGCCCTTATATGAATACTTCGCTATTTTTAAGATGCAACACAAAGTCCGAGATGTGGACTCGTCAAGACTTTGGCAATTCTGGATTTTTCTGTCTATTAGATCATCAGTTTAAATCTAGTAAGATGACATATAGAAATTATAAAATAAAAATTATGAAATAATAATATATAAATTATAAAATTAAAAATAGGAAATTTAAAATAATAAAGTATTTATGACCTTAAGGGAATCAAAATTTACAAAAGAAGCTCAGTATTAATTTGGTAGGTTTAATAAATATTTCTTTCAATGCAAGTTAAATGTTTAGAATGTTTCAGAGCAGTCAATATTTTTGTCAGTGCATCAGCAGACATTTTCTCTGTTGGCACATATTTAATGTCTATTTCATTTCTCTCAAGAGTTCTAACATATAAAGTGATGTCTAATATGTATAAGTTTTGTGTGTGAGTGGTAAACTGAGTTTTTCATAAGCTTCTGTGTACCTTTATTATCACAATATATTATAGTTGGATATCCAACATTAAAATTTAATTCTGTAAGAAAATGGTGTAAATAAATTGCTTCTTTGGTAATGTCTGAAAAACTGACGTACTCTGTGTTAGTAGTGTTGATAATGCAACAGTTTTTGCTTTCGTGATTCCCATGTTATAGGATTTCCAGCGAGTTTGAATAGGCAGCCGATATAGGATTTTCTAGTATTAACATCAGATGACCATTTGGCATTGTTATATCCCAATAAGTGTTTTTCCAGTCTTTCGAAATTTTAGACATTAATTTTTAGTTCCTTTCGAGTATCTAAGAACATGCTTTGCAACCAACCAGTGTAATTTTCCAGGATTTTTATTAAATTGGCTCAGGTGACTGATAGCATATATAATGTCTGGCCTACTAAACATGGAAAGAGACATAAGCAAACCAGTTAGACCATGATAAGGTCCATTGCTCATTTTTTCCTTTCACTTTCAGACACATTTCTTTACTTAATTTTACACTAAGGTCTAAAGGAGTTGCTACTGGTTTTGTATCTTAAACCTTTGTAAAATATTATCAACACATTTCTGCTGAGATAGTAGAATTAGTATTTACATCTTGATTAAATTCTATTCCAAGACAATAATAAAGGTTACCTAAATCTTTAACTTGAAATTCTTTAGAAAGCTAATTGTTAAATTCAGCATATATAAAATAGTTATTTGGTGTTATTATTAAGTTATCTACATGTAAAATTATAATTAACTCACCTTGAGTTCTTCTCACCTTGTAAACACACTTACCTGATTTTAATGGTTGTACAATCCAAAATTTTGAGTTTTTTGTTGAATTTTTGATACTATTGTCTTCCACTTTGTTTCAAACCACAGAGAAACTTTTGCAAAGCATAAACATAGTCAGAATTATATTGGTCTTCAAAGCCTTTAGCTTGTTCCATGAAAATGTCTTCCTTTAATCTTCGTTAACATAAGCCATTGCAGAACTTTGCATAGTCTTTGGCCAATCTTATGCATAATTTCCATTTAATGCTTCTTCTAATGTCAGATTTGTATCTTCTTTTTTAGCAATTTGTGCTTCTTCTTTTTTGTTTGTGTTTGTATTACTGTACTCCTTTTTTGATCTTCCTGGATGCCCAGTCTTGATTTTCTTTAGCTGATCTCACCCTCTTTTAATTAGCACTTCAGGTATTGCCTCAGAATCATCTTCATTATTAGATGACCCAGAAGATGCGTTTACTATATTCGAAGGGTCTTCTGATATTTCTTCAGCCAATGTTTGCTCTTGAGAGTAAACTCTTCAAAGTTTCTTCCTTCTTTCAGTTAGAAATATTTTCAAGAAATCTTCTAAATCTTTATCATAGTTAGAACAGTTTCCAAATTCATTGATAAATCTAGCATTTGGCTTATAATATTTTTTCTGGAATTTTTATTATGCAGCCTTCAGGCTTTTGATTCATTTCAATATCCTCCAAAAGTATGGTCCTCTCATTGAGAATCGAATTTCCCTTTAGACCCTTTATTATCTGTTAAACCGGTGTTGTAATTACAAACCTCTTTCCATTTCAATTAAAGTACAATTTAGCTCTCGCATTCTCTTGGAGAGTCAAGGGTACTAAGAATTCTTGTTTAATCGTGCATTTTTGAAGACATTTATTAAATTCTCCAATTCTTCTCTGTGGTATTCAAGACCATTATCAGGATTGCAATCTCTAATCATCACTAATAATAATGTCAGCATAAAAGGTTACTATGCTTTTTGATATCCAATTATTAATATTAAAAAAATGTGTAGTCACCCCTGCGGGAATAATTTCTTAAGCTGCCTTGTGTTGATAGTCAGACAGTGATGATGGAAGTATAATAAATCACAATTTGTCAGGTTGATATCAGGGATATAAATTATTCAGTAGGTGTAAAATCAAAGATGTTTTGATGCAAGATGTATACGAAGCAAAAAAAGGTGGCTATGGAGTCAAATTATTAATCATACAGATATATTCTAATAAGTGATTGTTTTACCATTACGAATCGGAACTCTCTGTATGTATCATTATGAAAAAAATATCAGATACACATGTGGAAACGGTATGGAGGTCTGTTTTGGGGATCGTTTTCGAAATCAGACATCCAAATTTCAGACTTTGTTTTGTAGTAATATGTTGCTACTGAGTGAAAAAGGAAAGGTTTGCTGTACCTTTGCAGATAGTTTGTGGGAGGTTATCTTTGTTAGTAAGACAAAAACAAACAATCACTACATGAACAAATCCATTTTAAAATCGTAGGGAGCTCGCTATCTGTTTGGAGTTCTGTCTGTATATACTGGTGTGATTTTATTGAAATTGAAAGCAGTTTCAACTCTTATTTGTGATGTCTTATAATCTTGTTCATCTTAAGTTTCTACACCTTTGAAAATTCTAAACACTATTAAAAAAAGTATTCAACTCTTACTAAATTCATATGAAAATTTAGTGTTTCTCAACAGTCTATTTTAGTTAAAGCAACAATTTTTTCTGTTCTTGGCAAACATGATTGTTTACTTATCTGGTATTCATTGGTTAATTGTAATGTAAATGTGTACTGCTCTGAAACAAAGTGATTAAGTATTTAGTTTATATAGTTTGCTTAACTTCAATTTTTAAAGTAACAGGAATCAATGCTTAAAATAATATTTGTCATAAATGATATTCATATGTTATGTAATCTAAACTGAACAATAGTATTATCTTATAATTTTCAAACTGAGCCACATTAAATTGTATAAATGACTAATTTATTTTGTGGAAAGGAAAGAATTTCTGTGTTAAAGAGCATATAAATAAAAAAAGCGGGAGACTCTTCAAAAGATACTTTTTCACCTATGAAAGGAAGACTAGAATAGGAATAGTGTGAGAATATAAAAACAAGTACCTTGAGAAATGACTAGCATTTTTTTTTTTTAAAGTATGCTTTCTCTACATGCTCAAAAGAGAATTTATTTGAGTCTAATAAAAATTGCTATCCATTACAGCAGTGGTTCTCAACCATTTTTGTCCCATTCCCCATTGCTAGAAGATTATTCCCCCCCCCCCTCTAATTTTCAAAACTTAAAAAATACATATACATTTATTTAGATTATTTTTTAACATGCATTATAAATTAAATACATAAAGCATAGAAAATTTTAGTAAATGCCAAAGCTTGAATAAAACTCATTTTTTATGTTTGTCAACTAAAACACAATACTCAACAGCTAAATAAAAGTCTGATCACACTCCCTCCCTGAAATTATGAAATCTTCTTCCCCAGGAGGGCATTCCTTCCTAATTGAGGATCCTTGCACCACAAACTGTATCTGTTTAGAGGGAAGTGAAGCTGATATATGTAATAGATTGCAGTACTGATATTTTACCTTGCACATAGTAAAAATTTTCTGATCTATCCTAATTTAAGGATATATTTTATTGCTTTGGAAGATTGTTTTTTATGCAAAGGGGCTGTTTATTAATGCATTTTTAGTGATAATAGACATGGCAATTATTTATTAGCTTTTGTAAAAGTATTACATTATTGACATGCTTGAACCTGCAGTTGAAAATAATTTCTTGATTACTCTGCAGCTTGCTGAGCTCCGGAAAGAAAGTATGGAGAGGAAGATATCAAAAAAATGTAAGTGTGTAGTTTGTTTCTTCATATTTTCATATTATGTTATTAAAACTGAAATAGCTAAAAGATTATTTAAATTTCCTTTTCTGTTTTTTCATACAAATGCAATATGTTATATAGCTGATTCAGGTTTTCTTTTAAAAATAATGATGCATTTGTTTAACTAAAACTGTCTAATGCATAACCCGAAAGTACAAGGTGTGCCCATTGAACAAACTGGTTATTTTGTTAGCATTGTCTATATAAAAATATCTTGCTAAGCATGCAGTTGCAGTGATAAATCACCTACCATATTCTCCTGATTTATCAACAGTGGATTTTTCTTTTTTCAAAGCTTAAGACAACCATGAAAGAACAGAATCAAATGTTATATACGAGGCACGTCCAGAAAGTAAGTTCCGTTTCAATTTATCTCCGCTGCAGCTCTGTGATCGCTGTTCCGCACATGTACAGTAGACGCTCTGTATCAAGGAGAAGAACGCGCGCCATTTGGAGATCGCTGTCAGTCACGTACGCTTTGTTGTGCTTGTTTACAATGTTGGTGTTGATTGAAAATCCCGCCACTTGTGAAATCAGATCTGTGATTTGTTTTCTGAATGCGAGGAAAGTGAAACCTAGTGAAATTTATCAGCAAATTTGCGATGTTTACGGACCAAAAGCGATGAGTGATTCAATGGTGAGAAGATGGGTCCGAAAGTTCAATGACGGACGTAGTGATGTGCACGATGAAGAACGAAGTGGGCGTCCATCTTTGGTTACAGAAGAACTGGTTCACGCGATTGATGACAAGATCCATGAAAACCGAAGGTTTACAATTAGTGCTCTCGCTATGGAATTTCCCCAGATTTCACGATCACTAATGCATGAAATTGTTACCGAAAAACTGAAAGTTCGTAAACTTTGCTCACGTTGGGTACCAAAGATTCTTACTGAGCAACACAAAACAAAACGGATGGGTAGTGCACTTCAGTTTTTGACCCGTTATGCTGAAAGCGGCGAAGAATTTCTGACACAGATAGTCACAGGAGATGAAACTTGGGTTTCTTACAACACCCCTGAAAGTAAGCGGCAATGAATGGAATGGAGGCATCTTCATCCCCCAGCAAAGGTTTAAGCCGAAGCAAATCTTGACACCTCGAAAAATGATGTGCACAGTGTTCTGGGACTGGAAAGGCATCTTACTCATTGATTTCTTACCGCGTGGTCAAACAATCAGAGCAGATGCTTATTGCAAGACACTTCGGAAATTGCACTGCGCAATACAGAATAAGTGCCGAGGATTGCTGTCAAAAGGTGTTGTTTTTCTTCACGACAACGCACGACCACACACTGCAAATGTGACGAAAAACCTCCTACAGGGATTTGGCTGGGAGGACGTATTTGACCATCCTCTGTACAGCCCTGACCTCGCTCCTAGCGACTTTCATCTGTCCTTACATCTTAAGTCTTTCCTTGGCGGTCAACACTTCAACAATGACGTCGAGCTGAAAGAAACTGTTTCCAACTGGTTGAAGACACAGGCGGCAAATTTCTACGAAGAAGGTATACAAAAACTTGTGCCACGCTATGACAAATGCCTGCAATATTTCGGCAGTTATGTGGAAAAGTAGTTTAAGAGTTGTTGAATTTTGTGCAATAAATAACTTTTCTATAGCTGTACATAATTTACTTTTATTACCAAATGGAACTTACTTTCTGGACGTACATTGTATGTTTTACGAACAGTTAGTTCCATGCCTATAAACAGTCAGGTTTCAGGTTTGCTTAAAAAGATATTTCGGGCTGTTTCATTGCAAAAGAGTTATAAAATTAACAATATATATTCAGCCATCTAGTCATTTGTTGACAGTATGGTGCATGCATAACTAAAGTTTGTTGCTGTGTTTAAAAATTGAGCTTGTTTCATAATAAAGGTGCATTTTCACACTTATAATTCTTATAAACTTTTTGTGAGCTAATGTGCATATCATTTTGAAAAAGCTGAGATTTTTCTCACAATTGCTTAAAATCTGTAAATTCATTGCATTTGAAAGAAATAATGCAAACAACGAAGTACTGTGACAATACCGATTTTTATACATTAACTATATCTTAGAAATGTATTGAAATTATTTTTATTATTTATTTTCAACTTCTGGTGTCAAAATTCCAGTTATCATAGTCTGTAGTTATTGATTTTACGTGCCTTTCCTCCTCTCAAAGTGAGGATTCTGAGAAATCTGGAATTGAAAGTATATATGCAAATTCATATGTTTAAAATTTTAAAGTAAATGGTATGTGACACTACTTATATAAGGGGGTAGGTGTGTTCTTCCTTCTGACTTTCTTTTCATTATTGATCTTCTTACTGACCTCATCCTGGTACCTTTGAAATTTGTAAAGCATCACTGAAAATGAATATTTGTATTGTATTTTGAATTCCCAAACAAGATAATTGAGTTATATTGATTATGTTACTGGATCCTTTAAATGCTAATAAATAAATAACAATAATTGCTGACAGCAAAAAAGGAGTTAAATATTTTATGTGTTATTTTGAATCTAAATTACAACTCTTAATTTCTGTGTACTGTAAGTATTTTAATAAAACAGCAACATTTAACAATCAATTGCATTTATGGGGTTCTGTTCAAATCTATATTATCTGTATCACTCATAAGATCAATGAAAAATCCAAGTTTTTTGTTTTTAAAATAGTAATATATATGAGTTTGTTATAGGAAAGGACACACAAAGTAAATATATTTTACTGTTATTTATTTTTTGAAAAATAATTTTGATAAATAAATATGACTAAGTATTATTCGAATTGAAATATATCTGGCTTACCTTTTCTACTGAGTTGTACAGCAAATGCGATTTTGAAACCGATTTTAGAGATTTATAGCACATTTATTTGAATTTTAATTCTTAACACGTTGAATGCCATGCACATTTTACGTGGTTCGACCATGGTGCCAATTCACTCTATATAAAGTTCAAAATATATAAAGTTCACTCTGAAACACACTATATAAAATTCACTCTATATAAAGTTCACTCTGAACGTTCTGAGGTAAAGCTAATTGCTGCAAATCTTAAGTGTGTTTAGTTTTCTTTCACCTCATTGCACTCCAATGGGTGAATTTTCCCGAGAATAAATGCTGCAAACTATCGTATTTCTGGGAATCTATGAAAAATGTGCTTTTATAGCTTCACCAGTCTCATCTTCAGAATGAAAGTGACACCCATCAAAATTTGTTTTTAGGCTGAAAAATAGCCAAAGGTCACACATAGCAAGGTCCGTAGAATAGGGTGGATGTTGTATCATTTTGAAGTGTTCTTTTTCTAGAAATTCGACTGTCAGTCGAATGAGAAGATACATTACATGGTGAATACATGAGTCCCCTAACATTTAAGTCTTGAAAAACTTCTGGAAAACACTTGAGTGATGTATTAGTTAGCTGTAACTGTTTTCTTTTCTTCTAACTAGATGTCTCTGATTGGTCTTGTGCTTCTGAAGAAAACAACATAGATTACTTTTTTTTATTACTTATTATTTTTTTCACCATAGTTGGTTAGAGGTCATCATGGAAAATTTCCTTTGCTCGAGTAGAGCATATAGCTGCAACATAGAGTAGGAACATTTACAACATTCTGGACAGCATATTCTGTTATCCAGAATACTTTTCTCCCTCAAGGTTTTTTGTTCAATTTTTAAACCAGACATTATTATTATTATTATTATTATTATTTGTAAGTCTGATCGGAATACTATAACCTTTTTATACCGACCTTGTTAAAAATTTGTAGCTTCACTTATGATTAATGAGCCCAAGTAGTAGCCTGAATGCTGGTAGTTCAAATTTGGATAAAATTCCTGCAAATAGTCTGCTTGAATACTGTATATGTTACATAAATGTGAACCAATTTCCATTAGAAAGTTTTTTTAAGAAGGCATACCTTCTTTGAGGTAGATAGCCCTTCTATGCATTGCCTTAATAAGTTAACTTTTGAACATTTTGATTAAAATAATAATTGAAAAATATTTCTGTATAATATGCAAATTATGTGAAGATTTTAATTACAAATTAAAGGGAAAAAATTTTATTATAATGAAATAATGAATGTTTTGTTAAAAGCTCTCTCTTTTTTAAAATAAAGTTTTAATTTTTAAAAACATTTCTGATGTCCATATGACTTTTATTTACTTGTAGTGGTGAAAACAAAAAAGATTATTCGGCAAGCTGAACTGAAATTGCTTGAAAAGCAATGCCAAAATCTTCCATTTGTGAACAAATATAATCCAGAAGAAGCTGCTTATGAAGGAACACTATGAAACTAAATTACCAGTCTTACAGTACTGTGATTGATAGTTTATCTCAGATAACAAGAGGCACAGCCTTTATTCATTCCAAAAACTCCCACTGTTTTGAAATAAAATTTGATAGTTGCTCTCTTTTGTACAAGAATTCTTTATATAGGAATGCAAATTGTGAAGTATTAGATGCATTTGCAATACACTTTTGTATTAATTATCCCTCCAAGTGGCAACAGCTTCTAAACTATTAATATATTGGTCTTATGCAACATTTAATACCCAGTTCTGTATATGTTGCTTCACTATTGTTTTAAACTTCATATATCAAGACTACTCTCTAATTTATTAAAAAATATTTTTTACAGAATAACAATGCAATTTTATGATTGGATGCACTAGCTGTGCCATTGAGAGGGTTAATTTGTAATATAAAATTAAATCAATGTATTAAGTATAAGTCATTGTGCCAAAATGCCAAAAAAAATTTGATGCCAATATTTTTCCACTATCTATGCCATTTTAAAGCTGAAGAAAATATTTTTTGGTAAATTGAACTTTTTTCTCAAGAAAGTAGCTCTTTCAAATTTATTGTTTAAATGGAATATAATTTCAAAAAAAAAAAAAATATTGCACAGTTTACTTATGGGAGAATGTTTTTATTGCATTTTCATATTTGTCAACTTTTTCAAGCATTTATGTATATATTATCATGTGAAAGATATGGTGTAGTATAAAGTGTATGAATGAAAAGTGTACATGGAGTCTCATTGATTACTGAGAATAAAGTAATTTTATGCATTTTAATTTCTGTTTATTTTCTTTCAGACTTGAACATAAGCATTTTTGAATTATGAATGTTATTTAGTTCTGCTATTCCCTTTTTGTTATTTACATTCATAATATGAGTTTTCACATCTAAATCATATTCTTAAATAATTTAAAAGTTTGATGTAGGAGAGTATTGGGATTAGCTTAAGGAAATTGTCTGCTCTTAATTTTATCTTATTGAATTTCACTTAAAATTTTTTCCACATAATAATAGTGTATTATTTCTGTAATGCTAAAATGAAATGAAAGAAAGCTCATTTCTAATCTAAATTGATGCATCTAGCAGGAATAGTTAAAATAAATATAACATTTAACTCTATAGAGGAGTTGAAAAGTATACTTTTTCTAACTACTTGTAAGCAAATATATTAATTCTGTTATCATATATACTACTGTCAAAATTTGAGATTTAGCATGAAAAATTGTGTTGGATAAATAAATAATCGGTCAGCTTTTAATAAGGCATAAAAGTAATTCAAGACTTACTTTGTTTATAAAATCATCTAAAATCTTATAAGAATATGAGATATATCTAAGTTATAGCGAGAGGATATTAAAGGAAAGTTAAAAAGAGAAAACATCGCATGATCCTAAGTAGCAAACTGTTTGTCAAACATAAATGCAAGTGATTTATTTTTTCTCTTCATTTACAGCTGGTTCTGAATGTATATTTTCCTATTCCAAGCGCTAAATATTAAAGCAATAAAATTAAATTTTACATTTCAGTATCAAAGATTATGAGCATTTTCAAGTTTTTATTTGTATCATGAATTTATATGTTCATTTTTTACTTAAATTTACATTTCATTTGCTGCTATGCATATATAATTAATATAATTATAGTGAACTCAGAAACTGGAGTCCCCATCTCCCCCCCCCCCAAAAGAGCAGGTTAAAAGTTTTCTTCTGCCAGATTTAGATCTTTAAAGATTAATAATGTATAAAAACCATAGACCAACAAAACTTTCTTCAGAACCATGATGAAAGGCATATACTGACTATGCTTTGCTGCTGACCAGTGAGGGAAGTGGGACATGAAGCTGTTAATCTATTATATTATTCCACGATAATAGACTATGGTGGCATTCACATAGCTAGTGTGTCCTTCTCCCCACACATTGCTGAATATTGGTGAAATGTATAGCAAATTTAAAAACTTGTGATGGATAAAAAATTATAAAATTTTGTCAGCAACAATTTTTAAATTTTTATGCAAATCAAACAATATTTCAGTTTTGGCATAAATTCAACTCTTTGTAATGATTTCATGTAATGATCAGTGACTTTGCTGTAGTGATGAAATATGCAGTGAAAACAAAAAAACAAACAAGCTGTGTAACCAGAAAATCTGACTTTGGGAAAATGGAAAGAATATTTTTTTTTAATCCATTAATTCATAAAAAAATATAGTCATTTCCGAAATTCTTGGAGATTGCAGGATCCAAGTCTTCCGCTCCTTCATTGTCTTGGAATGAATTAGTATTAGGAACTTTAGTTTGATCAGCTGACAGTTAAAAGAATATTTAAAAATTGAGAGGAAATATATTTTGTCTGAGTTCCAGGTAGTTATTTTTTGTTGCATTAAATTATCTTTTAGTTTCAATTGTGTAAACATAACAAGACTATAAAAAGATGCCCTTTGATTAAGAAAACAACATAAATTTGAATTATTTTAGCGTACTGAATTTTATTTTCTAATCAAATTTTTAAAATATGTATCTTTTACCTTCTTTGGATCAAATGTTTTAGGTAAATGTAATTTCTTGAATCATTAGAAATTTACTCAAGCATATCTTTTGCATCACATGAATGTGAAATATCCATGAATTCTTTGCTAACGTAGTTTAAGATCACACTGCAGATAGTTTATAAAATCAAAACTTTGCTTAGATGCATGTATTTTTCTTTTTAGCATTTTATACAGAGCATTAATTTGCAGTAAAGACAGATTCAAAATTCAAATACAGCAGTATTTCCCAATTAGAGACACTAACCAGACCAGATATTTTGTCTCTTAAACAGATATGTCCCTTCTTCAGGTGATATATATTGAGAAATGTAATTTAATTAGAAATTTAGGTTGTATCAAGCTTTAAATAAAGGATATATAGTTAAATAACATAGTCACAGGTATTTACGTGAATTTAACAGTAATAAAAAAGAAATATTCGTAACGAAAAAAGTTTAATTATTGCAAAAATGCATGAAATGAAGAGTAAAGTTTGTACTTAAAGAAATTTATTGAAAATAATCCATTATGCAAGTTTCTTTAAAATTCTGCATTGCAATTATTTTTTCCCACATGAAAATTTAAGTCGCACTGCAGTCACTAATGATCTTAAGTCCTTCACTGTATAGATCTTGACTTTCTTTGGTACCATAAATGAGTATCAAACCCTAACAGATCTGGAAAGAATTATCGCTTGGTCTGAAGTTAACTACAGAGACTTAAGAAGGTTAAAATAATCTTTAAAATATATACTTGAATAATTATTTAAAATAATACTTGAACATAAATGAATTTTTCATGCTTGACAAGATCAGTCACCACTTCTGGCAATTTAACCTAAAGTAACAGCCAAATGCAAAATAATAGTAACTGTACAACTGTCACCAACAGTTACAACGAGTTTTTTTAATTGGGAGCTGTATTTTTAGGCATCTGTGTAACTTTTAACATCTGTGTCCTCACTGCTTTCAAATCTATTTTTGTTAAAGCTTAAAGCTTGCATCATCAACTACAGTTGAAATAAAAGATTTTATGTCGTCATTGGCGTTTTCAGTACACAAGTTTTCATTAATTTCTAAATATTCTTGCATTTGAGCACTGCCACTGATTTTAACAAGTTCAAACATTTCATTTTCATTAGTAGTAGTGTCACTGAGGGCAGTCAAAACTGGAACTTCAAAGCCTGCTTTCTTAAAACACTATTGAACACAATTTTGTGACACAGATTTAACAGCATTTGTTATCCACTGAATGGCATTCTATACATTGACACATTTTGCAAGCTGATTGCTGTCTTCTCAAGCAGCTTGGCTAAGAACATGCCATAAGAATAGTTTTCTGTGAATACTTTGGTTCAACTAACTCTTAATCCAAACAATACTTTTGTCAGAAATATTTTGCCTTAAATTCTAATATTAATTAAATGGTAGTTCAGAAGAAACTGTTATTGATTTTGCTTCTGTTCAAAACTAAACAGCATCTGTCAATCAACATACCGTTGTCCTATCCAACATTCAACCCTCCTGAACATTTACTCAAAATAAAAGCATTACTTGTAGATATAAACATTGATCAGCTGAATGTTTCAATGTTACACACATATTTTCTCTTTTCCCTTCTTTTTCTTCATCTTTATGAATCATATTAACCAAGATGCTGACATCAATGCTAATGCTGAGAATAATAATTAAAGTAGCAATAAATTAAGAAGCTCGTACCTTAAAGCCCACTTATCTCTTAAAATCATAGCATTAAACAGCTCACAGAATGCAAATCATAAAAAATTACGTCATGGTAATAAGACTTATAACATCCTATTAATTGTATTATTGGAACCTTAAAATTCAGAATTTTAAATATATATAAATAACGTCTTACCCGTTTTCCAAAATAAATTTATAAAAGTTAGGATTTCATTTTAAATTATTTTACGAATCATTGTCATCCACAGCTTTATGGCAAAAACAAAGAATCATAAAATATTTTGGCTTTTGAATACTAAAATAGTAATTTTTTTTAAATAAATGTTAATGATTTTATAAACTTTGTGAATAAACATGGCAGAAGAGCAAAAAAAAAGGACCATAAATTTGAAACCATTTTTTATAATTCTAAGCAGTAACAATTTTTAAATGTGAAAATATCTGGATACTTTCATCAGTTTACATTCCAAATATAAATAGTACAGCTAATATTAAAAAAAAGCATGGCAACACTTAACTCTCTATAAATGTGAACACCGATCAGCTAGCTGTATCCATGGTTCATACATTTCTTTCTCACTGCCATATCTACACTCCATAAACTGTCCGTAAATGAAGGATAATGCCAGCTCCTGCAAATAAAGGTTCAGAAACAAACCAAACGTGACTTATTCATAAAGCCCATTTATTAAACAAAAGATAAAGAACAAGAAAGATGGTGTATGTATGATACCATTCATAAGAACTACTTCTTGCCCCCAGGAGCAATTACAAATAATATTTCCCTTACAAAACTTAACGTTACATGAGTGGTGTGATGTAACATTGTACGTCTCCCAGACGATGAATATAGACGTTCAACGCCTAGGCATGCTGATTATCAAATTATCGAGCTGATGTTGGGGAAGGTGACTCCACCCAACAAGCAAGCGCTGTTTGAAGTTCTGGTACATAAGTAGAAGGTGCTTCACTACTGAAATTCGTCGGCCAAGCATGTCTTACACATGCTGTATCGGATTCAAGTTAGGTGAGAATGCTATCCTTGTTATAGGGGTGATATCCTCAGATTGAAGGAATTCCTTTACAATGTTTGTGCAGTGAGGACGGGCGTTGTCATCCATAAACGCAAATTCTGCGCCCATGGCACCCTTAAACAAACATATATGTTGTTCCAGAATGATGTCGCGATAAATATGGCCTGTCATTGTCTGATATGAACATGCAGATCTGTTCTGGAGCCCAGTATAATTTCACCCTAAACGAGCAATCATGCACCACCGTAACGGTTTCGTTCAATCATATTGTCTTGGTGATAGCGGGCACCTGAAATTCTCCATATGCAAGTCCGACGTGAATCAGACTGCAAGCTAAACCTGGATTCGTCGGAAAACATGACACACTGTGGCGATATCCACATTGCATGTTCTCTGCTGGCAACAGAGTTGTTTAGTTGCCGTGAGTTTAACACATCTAAGAGGCCCGCTGCCATATAGAGGAATCTGTTTCAAACGTCTGTACACGGTTTGTTTTGAAATTGTGGTACC